GCCCTAACTAGAGCCCTATAGTAAGGCATGCGAGGCTTATAACTATGATTTGGGCGTGGGGCCGTACCTCCGTGTTGAGGTGGGGTGGGGGTGGTAGGCCTCGCGGGATCAGATTTCCTGATAGGGTGGGCTAAGGCATTAGCCTGTGCCGTATAGCCAGTTCGATAGTATGCTAAAGGGTAAAGTTAGAGGACTGGAATGGTGTGTGGATACTAACCTTGACTGGTCGCAAATGGTATCTGGAGCCTCCTGGTAAGTGTAGAGAGTCTTGTCTTAATGTGGTCTTTGAGGAAGAATCCTGGGGGTTTAAGACAGATGTTGATGTGTTTATACGTATCGTGATGTCGTATGAATCGTATAGGGAGAAGGTTTGTTAGGGGCACGACGTGAGATCCTGCATTGAGGGATCTGGGAGGTTTAGGTGTAGGAATGGGATGATTTTGGATATGATTGAGAAGGCAGAATGAGGCCTTGGGGTAGCGAATGGACGTACTTGAGTAAGGATGTAAGTACCTGAAGGTATGGCTGTGTACCGTGTCAGGATTTGGTGTCTTCTTGAGCCTGGTGGCCGTATGACCGAAAGTCTGTGTAGACAAGTAGTAAAGAGATAACGTATCCTGGGCGTAAGCCTGAGGGAAGGTAGTAATGGAGTTGAGACCGCGTGAGGTCTAGTATTGAAAAGAGAGTGAACTATACCTTTTATTAAAGTACAGAGATTGTTTTAATCGTGGCAGGTTAACTGCGTGGAAACGGTGGAATCTTAGATTAATACAGGATCTAAGGGTTTAACCGAGAGAAATTCCATAGTTAGCAATAGATGTGAAGATAATTGATAAAACCTGATAACTCAAGGTGATAATAAACCATACCTGTTCCTGTAATAAAAGGACCTTGGAATAACAACTTTAATGCAGAAAAGCAAGAGACCGATGCAATCTGTAAAAGCCGAAAAATGTGGCATGATCAGGCGGGACGTGATGACGTGAGACGCCGCACGTGCCTTAGGTGGGCGTGTCCGGAGGGAGGTTGAGGAGAGAGGACGCGGAGTCGAGAGCAAGCAATGCCGCTCCGTGCCGATTTGTGAGTGTGGTCCGGCTTAGACGAAGTGGAGGGAGTGCTCGGTCCGGTGAAGATTTGGTGGGTCGGTGGACCTGGTCTGACGTGGTGGTATATGCCGGTTCTTGCTGGGGGTTTGTTGCCTCCGTTTCTGCCTACGTTTTTGGGTAAATAGTGGCAAATAGTGGCGATTCCCTTATAGACCGTTAAAAAGGTCAAAGAAGAAATGAAAACAGTTCCTGTATAAATTCCTGTATAAATTATCAAGCAAAGAAACGAAAAAAAAAAAAAAAGAAGAAGAAAAAAGAGATACAAAGAAGGAAAGAATAAGAGAGAAATAAAGGGAAAAAGAGGAAATACATCCCTCAGTGATCTCCTAAACAGCCATATATAAAAAACTGTGAGTACTTCTGTATTTACTAAAAAATATGACTGTAAGGCATCATACCTGTATATAATTACTGGCCTGGAAAAAAGAAAAGTGGAAGAAAATCTTTTTTTTTTTTTTTTTCCTCGTTGGAGGAGATTGACATCAAGAATCAATTATTTGACCAATTGATTTAATCTAGTTTTTTGAGCTTGGAGTTGAAATTTCATATGTGACATCTAGTTTTAATTTGTCACTGAGAAGCATTTAAGAAATAAAACAAAATGTCAACCAGGAAAACAACGGAAAAAAAAAAAGAAATTAAGTCAGTTCAACAAACAGAAAAGAGGTTGTCAGGTTTTTTTGCAACTCCTATTAAAGATCCTATTAAAGATCCGCAGGAACAGATAATTGATAGTAAGACACACCCAAGTAATACTTCCAATATTATCCAAGAAGTTGCACTTAATCAATTTCCATCAGAAGCTCAAGCAATTGCTTCAATTAGTATCCAAGATCAATTTAAGCAAACGCTGGAACTACAATTAAATTTATTGAAACAAGAAATGCTTGTAAGTTTCAATGAGATAAAACAAGAAATTAAAAATGTTGCAGTATCAGTGGTGGAAGTTGAAAAAAAATGTGAAGTGTTTGGAACGCAAATTAAAGCAATTAATACGGAGGTGCAGTTTCTAGTAAACAAAGTTGATAATCTTGAAATTAAAACAGCAGCTTTGGAAGATAGGTCAAGAAAAAGAAACATCAGAGTAAGAGGTGTTACTGAAGAAATCTCCAATGAAAAATTGAGAGAATATTTAAACAATTTATTTGAAGAAGTTTTACCAGAAATACCTACAGATGAATATAAAATAGAAAATTTTCACCGGATACATAAACCAGATACAACGGCTCCACATCTCCCAAGAGATGTAATAGTGAGTTTTTCCTCATTATCATTGAGAAATAATTTAATGAAAGCCTGCCGTACCAAACCCCGAACAAATTCTATTTACAAAGACATAATTTTTTTGCAAGACTTATCTTATCATACCAGGACTTGGAGGAAATCTCTCTCTATCGTGACGGATTTTTTAAGAAAAGCAGAGATCAGGTTTCAATGGGCCTATCCAACATCTTTAAGATTTACTTGGAAACAAGAAAGAAAAATTTTTCTGGATGCAAATGAAGCAAATAGTTGGTTATCAAGTATTAATAAAAAAGCTTGAAGGGATTGTTGCGGCGGAGAGGAAGATGGAAGGAAGAGAGAAGAGAGGAGAAGAGAGAGGAGGGAGAGAGGAAGGAATGAAAGAGGAAGAAAATTAACTTTTTTTTTTTTTTTTTTCACTCATATAGAATCACTTAATTGTGCTTTGCACAATTTGCTAATTTGTTGATGTTATTGGGGCTTGTTTTCACTTTAAAGCTACTAGTCAATTGAGAATTAAGTATATGCACACAAGCATTTGGAACATAAGGATTTAAAAGCAAATATGTCTAAGTATTGATATCAATTAGATTTGAACTCAACGAGGTGGTTAAAAGAAAATTATTCACATGTATTAGTAAGTTAAGTAGAAACAGATTTATTTAAAGTAAAGAATCACAGAGTAACTGATCTAAGTACAAAATAATGGAAGAATTTTTCTCCAATTATATAGAATTACTTAATTGTGCTTTGCACAATTTGCTAATTTGTTTTTGTTTTTTTTTTTTTACAACACACATACAAAATAACATAACAGGACAAAACATCAGATGGTCATATGAGGTCACTCTTAATATAGTATCAATATTAACTTAGGTCCAAAGAAATTTTGGACATCTATCTATAAGTCAACAACAGCCTCCAACTTCGCCACCCAGAAGTTATAGCGTTCTTGATATTTTATATTTAACCCAGCTTCCATTTTCAATTGATATTTAATTTGTTCCTTAACTACGGGCCATGAGGGCACCAACTCCATTTTCCAATACCTTGCGATAGAAAGTTTCGCGGCTAGTAGTATATGCAAGATAACCGGCATTGAACTACCACTAACCTGATGGATATCTAATTGCAAAAGGCATATCTGTGGTACCATAGGTAAATCAATCAGAGTAATAAGTTTTATCTTAGATAAAATCATTTTCCAAAACTTCTGTATATACCTACAGTCCCACCATATGTGTAGATAGTTCCCAAATTCCACATTGCATCTCCAGCAATTGGCGTTACCTGAGTTACTAAACTTCTCGATTTTACTGGGGACCATATACCACCTATTTATGATTTTAAAATGGCATTCCATCAGATTAAGACAATGGGTATGTTTATAGGTAAGATTTAGAGCTTCTCTCCATTGGTTACAAGTAATCTGATTTCCCAAATCTCTTTGCCAGGAATTAATTATAGCTTTTAAGGGTTCATCTGAGTTTTTTTGTAATAGGTTTAATCCCATAGATAATAGTTTTTTTGGAGAATCCCTATCAAGGATGTTTCCTATATCCCTTAAGCGATCACACCTTTCTGTGGTAACATATTGATGACAAAAGCCTTTTAGTCTAAGGTAATTAAAAGTCTCCCTATTGTCTATTTTATATGTTTGTTTTAAAGTTTGGAAATCCATCCATCCGTTTCTATCCATTAAATCTTGAAATTTATATATGCCTTTTTCAATCCAACTTTTTACGTTAAAATTAGTCATATAGTAAGCTATATTTCTTAAAGAAAGGGAAGGGATTAACTTATTATAAAGACCTAGTGAATTTTTAGTTTTTTTCCACCCCCTTAGAACATTATTCAGAATAACACTTGATGAAATGGGGTTTACTTTGTGATCGGTTTGTAATTTTAGGGGCCAAAAGAGCACAGACAGCTCCATCGGTGGACCCTCAGTTGAAGTAAGGTCTTGTTCTATCTTGTACCATATCTCATTCTTACTATCATTTAGTTGAGTAATGATTGCGTGTGTAAAGGTCGCAGCATTTTGGAAGTCTTTTAAAATAGGGACCCCCAGGCCCCCCTTTTTCACTTTTAAGGCTAAGCGTTTTTGGGATATTCTTGGAGGCTTATGTAACCATATAAATTTATTCAATAGGGATTGAGCTAAGGTCAACCAGCTGTCCGGGCACGGTAATGCCACCATTCTAAATAGATAAACCCATTTTGGGATGATATAAGATTTAACTACATTGATACGGCCCCACCATGAGATCTCTAAATTTTTCCAATTTTTTAGTTTCTTTGCCGTAGTTCTAAGAAGAGATAGGAAATTGAGTTCCATGATAATATTGACATTATTTGCTATTTCAATTCCCAAATAATTAAAAGAAACCTCCGCCCAATTAAATTCATATCTCTGCTTAAGTAATGCCCTTGTATTCTGAGGGGTATTCATTAGTAATGCAGTCGACTTATTGACATTAATTTTATAGCCTGAGTGTAAAGCGTATTCATCTAAGGTATTAAAAAAAGCTATAGAGGAGTTTAAAGGATCTGCTAGGGTTAATACAATATCGTCAGCATACATTGTTAATTTAATGCAATCGTTTTTGAAATTAAGGCCCTTTATTGCCTCGTTTTTCCTTATTGCTACCGCTAGAACTTCTATTGTCAATAAGTAGAGAAGAGGTGAGAGCGGGCAGCCCTGTCTCGTCCCGTTTTTCAACGAGAAAAAATCTGAGCTGAATCCCGCTCCCACAACTCTTGCAGAAGGAGTTGAATATAAGGCCAGTATTGCTTTTCTTATATTCCCAAAAAAGCCAAAGATTTGTAGGACCGCATCGAGGAAGTCCCACCTGACCCTGTCGAATGCTTTCTCTGCATCTAAAGACAGGATCAGGAGGGAGTATTTCCTCGATTGGGCCCAATCCACTACGTCTATGAGACGTCTGACATTATATACCGAAGAGCGTTTAGAAATGAAGCCCACTTGGTCCCTGTGGATTATATCCATCATAATTCCATTTAATCTACTTGCCATTATTGAGGAGTAAAGTTTTAAATCCTCATTCAATAGCGAGATAGGTCTATAATTGGTTATTAACTCTGAGGACTTTTGTGGTTTAAGAATAGGGACCAAGTTAGCTCTCAGCATCTCCGGCGGGATATTACCTTTCAACATAAACTCATTAAATATCTCCCTCAGGGTATTTGCTAAGTTTTCTTTCATAGATTTATAAAATTTATTCGTAAAACCGTCCGGACCTGGAGACTTAGCGATTTTCAATCTATCTATAGCTTGGTTGACCTCTTCCAGGTTTATAGGGTCATTTAAGTTTTGTAATTGAGATTCCGTTATTTTTGGCAGATTTAACTTCTCTAAATATTCTAGGAGATTAACTGGGGAATGTCTGTCTGGCAGATTATATAGTTTAGTATAAAATGCTTGGAAAGCCTGACCTATTTTTGATGGATTCAAAAGAACCTTATCTTCTTGAATGATTTTAGTTACCCTCATCTTGGTAGAATCCTTCTTTAACCTATTCGAGAGTAATTTATCCGCTTTATTCCCCCTGTAATACCATGTCCTTCGTAATTTTTCTAATGAAAAATTTGCTTTCTGGATTAATAAATCGTTAATGCTCTCTTTAATGATAGAGAGTTGTTTAGTAATATCTATAGATGGATTATTTTTATTTATATATTCTAATTGATCTAGTTGTATATACAGGTGCGTAAGATTATTTCCCTTCTTTTTTTTTTCCTGGGACCCCATCTTAATAAAATGTCCTCGAATTGTACACTTATAGGCGCACCATATAATAGGTAATGGTAAGTCGTCTTTAGTATTTTCTTCAAAAAATAAATTTGTAGTTGACTTAATTTGTTTTAAATATTCTGAAATACTTAATAGACGATCGTTTAATCTCCAATTTGATCTATTATCCTTCAAGCCATCATCCAGAATCATCATTACCGCATTATGATCTGACCATGCAATATTTTTAATAAAAACTTTTTTAAGCATTTTGGATATGCTTGGGTCTGATATTATTAGATCGCTTCTGGAATAAACCCGGTGAGCCCCAGAGAAACAAGTATAGTCATATTCCATAGGATGCAAAATCCTCCAAAGATCCAGAAGGCCCCTATTTTTTAACAAATTACTGAAGGATTTAGCAGAGGTTTTTAGCTGTTTATTATATTGATCGTTAATTAAGCTTCTCCTATCTAATTCAGGATTAAGCATACAATTAAAATCCCCTAAATAGATTACCATACCTTGTCTATTTCTATCTACTATATCCATTAGTTTCCTAATAAACTTAATCGGGGCTAAATTTGGGGCATGGTTTGAATGTTTTAAAATAATTTTTAAACCAATTTTTCAATTTTTAAAGTTTTTGAGATGAATTAAAATGAATATAAATTTTTGTATGGTTATATTTTATACATATTTATATTTTAAACATTCTATTTGCTTCATTTTATTTTACTATAGATCAATTTTTAATTGTTGTTTTTGGATAATTAATTTGTGAGAAACTTAAGCATATGATTTTATAGTGTATCTCTATTAGATTGATTAGAATGGTATATTTGTCATTTGATAGTTAATTAGTATGTAGTTACTAACATCCATTATATTTTTTTCCAATTTTTTCCAATGTTTCCAATGTGTCCAAATTTCCCTACAATTTTGTTATTTGAGTTTTATATTTTTGCCTTTTTACATTGCCTCTTCTCTTTGATTATGAATTTTATGTATGTGTATAACTTCTAAGAAGAAACAATGTATTATGTGTCATTTTATTTAAACTTTTACAAATGTGATTTGTAACATTATATGTGAGCACAGCAAGGGTTAATCTAATACTAATGAGAACAGACCGAACAAGTATATAAAAAAGATTGCAGACTCCAAGATGCCATCCTCTGATGAAGTGATCGGAAATCACGAAACGCGTAAGGCGGCATCTGCACACTAACACATATCGGTCCCAGAGAGTGAGCACTTCTGACACGCATCCTGAGCCGCAGTGGAACGCACGCGGCTAGAATCCAGTGGTATACAGCACGAGGAAAACCTCATTCACTTCTGTCCAGCCGGCAAGAAAGTGATTTTAATATCCTTTGGACTCGAGGTCTGTGATACCTGGTACTGGTGCTGTTTTTATTTGCTACTCTTTTTTTGGGACTGTTTTATTGGAAGCTACATATATATTTTTAGCATTTTTTTTGTGCCTATCTATGATAATAAACTTTTAACAGTATCTGTCTGCTGCACTATATTTTAACCCTTTGAGGGATCTATTTCATCCCACTTAATATTAATCCAGTTTTGTATGTTGGTTTTATAATCTATCTAAACCTATACTATATTATTTCCAGCAGTACATAGACTCTGCCTACCTTATCTGATAGGAGGTGATGACATGACTAGCTGATACATTTGTATTTAAACTAGAGAGCAATTATTAATTTTCATTTATTGTGAAGTGCTCTGTATATTTTCATTTCCACTGAATCCTGTATATGTTATTGATTTATTTCAATTAGTGTTTTACATAATATAAGAACTGTGACTGAGTCACACCACACAAAAACAAAAGTTTTAGACTTTATTAAAACAGACTTTTCTAAAATTAGAATATGTGTCAATGAGTCATTATCAGACTGGAGCAATTTAAATGGAGTCCATGAGAAATGGGATTATTTGAAGGTTGCCTGGCTGAAGGCAACATAAAATTGCATTAGGCTTGTCAGCAAAAGCAAAAAATTCAAGAAACTACTGTGGTACTTCGCAGATGTGGCCAAAATAGTAAAAAAACCAAAAAGTTAGCATTTAGTAATCATAAAAAATCCCAGAGTGAGGAAGATAGACAGATCTATAAGATTAGACAGAAAGAAGCTAAGCAAGTTATAAGAGCTTCCAAATCACACACACAAGAGAATATAGCAAGGTCAGTATAAAAAGGGGACAAAACATTTTTTAGATACATAAATGAGAAAAGTAACGTAAAACAAGGATTAGTTAGATGAAAAACAAAAGAAGGAAGGTATGTAGAAGAGGATAAAGGTCTAGCTGACTGCATCAATTAATATTTTTGTTCAGTATTTACAGATGAAAATGAAGGAAAGGGGCCTCAGTTAAGAAAAAGGACAAATGAGTCATTTATTACATGTGAGTTTACAGAGAAAGAGGTTCTATTTCAACTGTCAAAAGTAAAGACAAATAAGTCCATGGGACCTGATGAAATACACTCAAACTTATTAAAAGAGCTTATCTAACCAATCATTGTTAACAGGGGTAGTCCCAGAAGATTGGAAGTTAGCGACTGTTGTGCCCATTCACAAGAAAGGAAGTAGGGAGGAGTCGGGCAACTATAGGCCAGTAAGCCTTACTTCAGTAGTGGAGAAAGTAATGGAAACCATGTTAAAGGATAGGATTGTTGAACATCTAAAATCACATGGATTTCAAGATCAGAGACAACATGGGTTTACTTCAGGGAGATCATGCCAAACTAATCTTATTGATTTTTTTGATTGGGTAACTAAAATAATAGATCAGGGGGGTGAAGCAGACATTGCTTACCTATATTTCAGTAAGGCTTTTGACACTGTTGCACACAGAAGGCTTATCAATAAACTTCAATCTTTAAGTTTGGATTCAAATATTGTTAAATGGGTAAGCCAGTGGCTGAGTAACAGGCAACAGAGGGTTGTAGTCAATGGAGTATATTCGAAACATGGGCTTGTCACCTCAGGGATCTATACTTGGACCCATTCTCTTTAATATTTTTATTAGTGATATTGCAGAAGGTCTTGATGGTAAGTTGTGTCTTTTTGCTGATGATACTAAGATATGTAACAGGATTGATGTTCCAGGAGGGATAAGCCAAATGGCAAATGATTTAGGTAAACTGGAAAAATGGTCAGAGTTGTGTAAACTGACATTTAATGTGGATAAGTGCAAAATAATGCATATTGGATGTAAAAACCCAAGGGCAGAGTATTTGATAGAGTCCTGACCTCAGCATCTGAGGAAAAGGATTTAGGGGTGATTATTTCTGAGGACTTAAAGGTAGGTAGACAATGTAATAGAAAGATGTGTAAAGAAAAATTTGGCGCAATAGGGAATCAGCTAAATACTGATAAAATAACATTATGAGGATGCAGCAACCTACAAGGAGTTCTGATATAAATAACCTCCAAGAAATGAAGAATAAAAATCCAAAAGGTGCTGGTGCGCAAAGTTGTTTAGAAACTAGCAACCAGAGAAATATACTTGAACAGATAATATGTGAGTATACTAATATATACACACAAGTATATGCAGAAATAAAAACAAGATTAGTGGGCAGCTCAAGCATGCATAAAACACCAAGTGGTCAGGCAAAATATATAAAATATAATCAGAAAATTTATACTTACACTTGTACTTGTATACAGGAACAGCTTAATCTAGAATACATAAAAGCAAGAACCTAGTGCAATATTGTAAAAAAGTCCTTTGTAAAATATATGTAGAAGTATTTAACTCACAATTGTGGAGTGGTTGAAGTACTACTCCAAACCATCAGGCTCTGGGAGGATCAGCCCCTGGAGAACGTAGGATCCAAGTGCAGTGTGCTTGATGAACTCACTCTCAGCCGAAGGGTTGAAGTATACAAAAATATTTATTTAATTGCCAAATAAACAAAAATATCAATGGTATAAATAATAAAAAGTGGTGTAGGAGTAGATCAAGTATAGTCCTCTGCAGTTCCTATGGGGCTGAAGACCCAGACTTCTACACACCAACGCAGCCAGAGCTCCTCTCACAAATGCTGGCAATGGGAAGACGTTCCCAGAAAACAAACACCCAGACTGAGCACCGCGACATCTGAGCACTGCTCCAAAAACAAGCTCGGCCCAAAATGG